TGTTCTGTTCTTTTTTGTTTTTGTTTTTTCAATATCTCTCTTCTAGTAGCTTAATGTCTGAGTCAGGGTGTTTTTTAGGCAGGGATCAGATCTATAAAATTATCTTTGCATGTGGCGTTGTTTCCAGATGTGATGGACTTAAGGAATGCATTATTTCTGATGGTTTTTATATTTGGAAACCCAGAGGTACCTTGGATTGGTATCTGATACTATACTAATCGGCTTTTAAAGAGGTTATTGCTGCTTTCTTAAAGCAGTAAAAACAAGCTGCATTTTAACAGACTTGGGCATGAAAAGTGTCTATGCTTAGCCATGGCCAAGTGGCTCAGTTCATTGGGCGTCATCCCATATATTGAAAGGCTGCGAATTTGATTCCTGGTCAGGGCACAAACCTAGATTACAGGTTCAATACCCAGTCAGGGCTTGTGCAGAAAGTAAACGATTGATGTTTCTCACATCAGAGTTTCTCTTCTCCACCCCACCCCACCCCTTTCCTCTCTCTAAAATCAGTAAACATATCCTCGGGTGAGGATTTAAAAAGAAGAAGAAAGAAAAGGGGCTATGCTTATAACCTAAATATAGTACCCTATTGCTCTTCCTATCAGTGAATAATGGGGATGGGGAGAGTTCATTCATTATTAAAATTGCTTAGAGAAATTACTATGATTATGGTTCTCTTCCCTGTCTTGCAATAGGATGGCTGTTAACAGATTGAATTCAGAGGATGTGCCTGGTTTAGATTTCTCTTTCCCCTGCATTTTAGGATATCAATGCTTACAACTGTGAGGAGCCCACAGAAAAGTTACCTTTTCCCATCATCGATGACCGGAATCGGGACCTCGCCATCCTGTTGGGCATGCTGGACCCAGCAGAGAAGGACGAGAAGGGCATGCCTGTGACGGCGCGTGTGGTGAGTTATCGAAGTCCATTCTGGAGTCCTCATGACTGGCCAGGCTGTATGTCCATGTAAATGCTTGGAGCACCTAGAGGAAATAGGCGAATATATGTTAATGTCTACATATTTCCTCAGGGAAATAACTGTACTGGTAGCAGTCTCACTGATTATGTGTAATGCTCATGCTAAATTTTCAGCTAAAATTTTAAACTGGGCAATTCATAGCTTTTGGAAACCTACTTCTAGAATTGAGTAATCTTTCCTATATCTCTCCTGACAACCTCTCTTTAATGGGATGGGTCATGTCCTTCGTCCTTGGGCAGCTCTGGTTTTGAATTCTGGTTAGTTCTGTCCTGAAAACAAACTTAGTCCCTCATCTGCAAAAAGTACAACTACGTGAGGGCCAGTGTCCACTCCCATTAGTATTATTTTTATGATAATCACCCCTATTTAACATAGTACCAGCCGGAGCCCTTTCCTGGATTCAGTTTGTATATCAGTTTTTCTTACTGGGACAACCAGAACCAAATATAATCTCCTTTTAAGTGCAGAAGAATAACATGAACACTGATGTATACCTGAGGCTAATACAATACTATAGGTCATTGTAATCAAAAAGTTAAAAAGTATATTTTTATAAAAAGGGAAATGACATGGAGAAGAAAAGTGTCTGGGTTCCTGCCCCCCAATGAAGTTTGGTGTGCCATTTTCGATATTGGGGAATTTTTTCATTCGCTTTGTGTTTATACCTTCGAACATTTGTCATGACAGGCAAGCATTCCAAGAGGCTTTCATATCAAAGAACTTGTCCTACTTAAGTGTCTGTGTGTTTACAGGTGTTTGTTTTTGGCCCTGATAAGAAACTGAAGCTGTCCCTCCTCTACCCCGCGACCACCGGCAGGAACTTTGACGAGATTCTCAGAGTAGTTATCTCTCTCCAGCTGACAGCAGAAAAGAGGGTTGCTACTCCGGTTGATTGGAAGGTTGGAGATAGCGTGATGGTCCTCCCAACTATCCCTGAAGAGGAAGCCAAGAAACTCTTCCCTAAAGGAGTCTTCACCAAAGACCTCCCATCTGGCAAGAAATACCTGCGCTACACGCCCCAGCCGTAGGTCTCACCCTGCACAGTGAGCCAGCGGGTGCCAGCTGCCAGTCATGTGTCCTACAGCGATTCCATAGAAACATCCCACTATGATTACAGCCACGGTCTCTAGGTTGTTGTCCTACTGGCTTATTAAATGAAAATGGCACTAAACACCCCGTGGGGTTCTTTGCTTCGTGCCTTCACCAGCATTCTGTTCTGTTCCCATGCCTCAGCCTTCTCTCCTGGCTCTCTGAAATACAGTCTGTATTTGAGACTCACATCATATCGGATCTCTGCAGGTTTGTGATCAGCAACGTAGGATCCACTGATGGTTGAAAAGCTGCTTTGCTCCAGCCTGGAATGACCATCAGGTTTTTTAGCTGTTCTAATCAAATCCTCTCTTCCATTACGCATTTTGGGGAGCAGCAGAACTTGAGGTTCAGTTTCCTCTGTCAATCTGTAAGTATATAACCCTAGCAGTTAAAGTAACCGGATATTCTTCAGTACTCAGTGTTTTGATCACAACTGAGGGAAAAGATTTCCGTTCTGTACTTTTACAGGAGAGAACTGAAGTGGGATGAGCAGGGGGAGGGATCTTTAAATATTTTGCTCAGAAAATTTTTCAATACATTTCTACCAAAAGAGGGAGAAAAGGCTCCACTTACCTGCTGGAGGTGTGAGCAGAACAACAGCGCCACCTGCCTTTCACAGCAGGTATTTTCGTGTCAGTGCTCCGCCATGATAACACCGAAAGGGCTCGCCCTGGGGAGGAAGGGAGGAGAGGATGACTGAAGTTGTTTGTAGAACTCTTCTTGCTGTGGGTGGGGCAGTACTTTCTGAATGTTGCATTTTGGGGATCTAGCAAATAAATCCATTGTTAAAACTAGATCAGAGAATTGTGTTGTCACGTTTTGAAATACTCGGTTAGACCCATGTCCTGAGGGCAGAGGTTTCCTCACTGGGATTGGCATTGATGCTTCTCTCCGGAGACAGATATATAAAATTTCTAATGACCATGGAGGTGCAGCTGGCCTCATGTGACTTCACCACAGCACCTGGCCCACTTTGCTCCTTCGTAGTACCTGCGTGGGTCCTATAGTCCCTTGAGTTTGTGACCCCTGGTGTAACACACCTAATGCCTTAATGGGATTGCTGAGCTTCGGAATTTGAATCTTGAGGATAATGATGCATATAGGTATGCTTTTCTGGAAAGAGTACTAGTTACTCTGAACTCACGGTCTCTTGGACTTATGCTGTGCTAATAAGGCCTCAGTTTGGAAAGAAGTGTCACACACCTGGTGCAGTCTCTTGCAGGTAGCCCTCTATATTTTTATTGAGTAAAATATGATCCCTGGTGCCATGTGTCAGAGAAGTCGTTAGGCCTTTTAGTTTCCTTTAAAAGGTGGGTGACACTAAGAAGGTTGAGAATGAAGGTAAAAATTCCAAGTTTTCACAGTATCCTGGGGAATGCTGGTCTGAAGGAGACCTATAAGGACTGGCATCCTGTTCTCATCTCTTCTCCAAGTCACAATATATTTTGCCTTCAAAGAACTAATACTATCTGGTACATCTACTCTACCCGTAATGATGGCATCAGTATAAAAACGCTTTAAAAGCTCAAAGGAAAGGGGCTCGTGCTGTCAAATTTAGTTCTGGCTCTACCACTAAGCAACCATGAAGCCATGAAATGGAACAAGTTCCTTTCCAAGTAAATGTTACATAATAAATATGCATTTCTAGGTAGAAGTGACCCTAAGCATATTTTTAACACCCTTGGACATGAAGAGTAGAGTTCCCCTATAAAGAATTGTTGCCCTCAATTTTCATTGGAAGAACAGAATAAATTGCATTATGCATCCAAAGATTTAATTGAAAGGTAATGTATGACCATGGTGGCTATGAGAGAAGCATAAGGAATTTGAAAGTCCACATGACTTCAAAGAATAAGCATAGGCTAATCTTCTAAGTTAGTAAAATGATTAACTTGTGGCTCCTGTGTGGTCTTGCCACAAATCTGATTTCACCTCTAACCTCCACCCTGAGGGTAGGAATTTGCATTGAGAAGCTCAGTGAAGGGTTAAGGAGCCAGAGTGGTCGTGCCTAAATGGCCAGCTCAAGATGCCAATTTGGGTGCAGTGAACTGGTGTTAGTGATTTACTCCATTAAACCATGCCCCTTTGGGGCAATGCAAATTGAGGCAATATAACTGATTCTAGCTTAAATGGTGCATGGACTGGGTAAAAGGTCATTACCACCTTCTTGTCAGTGATTGGTCCAAAAATGGGCATGTGACTCAGTTCTTGGGGAGGAGACAAATACAGGATTATCAGCATTTCTAGAATAATTCTTTCTCACTATTGGAAGCCATTCTTTTTGGTCTTGTATTGAATATGAACAAGAAAACATGGAAGCCTGGGTTGCTGTTGGGAGAGGAACCAGCCGTGGAATAAGACAAAAAGTCAATAGGGTAAAGAGAAAGAAAAAATCTGACATCACCGAGTCTACTGCCCACAAACCATGCTACCTCTTGACTTACATAAGATATTTCTGTAGTGTTTAAGCCTAATGGATGTACATGGTGAGGTGCCTCCTAAGTGACCTGGAGGGCAGGCATCTGTTTTCTGATAGTTTATTCCCTGCACTGTAGATCTCAGGCTTCAAAATGCATTAAATCATATGAGGAACATGTTAAAATCCAGGACCCACCCCAACACTGATGCTATAGGTGACCAGAAGTTCTTCATTTGTAACAACCCAGGTGACTGATGCCGAGGACAGCAGACACCCAATATCCATTTCCCATTCTTTACTAAAAACAGGTTGTGTTAGGGTTGGCAAGGTGAGGTGCCAGTTAAAGTTCATTTAATAGGTGTGGGCATGTGACCGTGCTTCCCTCAGTGGGGTCCCTTCCTGACTAAAAGGCAAGGCCTCCTACAGAGAAAGCTCCTTGTCTGACTGAAACGCCCACCGGATGCCTGGAGTGACCAATGATTTGCCATCTGAGAAAGTTACTGGCCAAGGATGGAGGAGAAGGCTGCAAGGAGCCTGGGTCCGTGCTTATTCCTCAAGCCGCAGCACCAGCCCTGTTCTGCCTGTTGCCAGGTATCTGGTTACATCAGAAAAATGAAGCCACATAGGTTTCTGCAATGTGCGGCTACACCTATATCTGCTGACTCGAGTGCTCCACAGCCACTCTGAGAAATCCTGCCCTACATGCTCAGTGTCCAGAAAGTTCTTCATAAATGGTTATGCTTGACTTTTTCTCTTGTGTTTCTTTCTATTATGATTTTCCCTAGAGTCGAGATTCTTGCATTCTTTCAAAGTTTTGTTGAAATGAAAAAGACAATGGAATCTAATAAGTACAGCATGAAAATCAACTTTATTTGACTTTTAAAAATAAAGTGAAAATAGTATCAAACAGTACTATGCAAGGTAAGATTGTTAACTTCTCAACTTTGCTTTCAGTAACTAAGATTATGGAACATAGATCTATTTTTCAAGAGTTACTAAATTGGGGAGGGGACAATAACTTTGGAAAATGTTACAGGAGCACTACTTATAGCAATATCACAAATCAGAGTTTAGAATCTGTGCTTTAGATAGTAATATATTGTACAATGCTTTTAATAATTTGTAAAACACTGTAACGTGCTCTCAGCTGAAGCAGGGTTCCGTTTGGTGGGCCATGAGTCTTAGACAATCTTAACATGAAAAATTTTTGAACCACTCAGGTTCAAAATGCAACTACTTAAAACTGAAGCTTTTGCAACAGCCCATCAATTGCTTATAAAAGAAATGCAGCAATAAATTGTTTCAGCAACTTCTAAGTAAACTTCTCATCAGATGACCCTTCCGCACGTGAGCCCAGCGTATTGGCTCAGTCTGAAACCTCACTTCTCATATCGTGTTGGCGCCATTAGTGTCCTTTTCTATAATGAGATCCAGCGTCCAACTACAAAAGAAAGTCAAAAGTAAAATATTAGACTTGTGTGCATTTCAGAAAAAAACGAATCAACTTAAGCACAACCAGAAAAGTTTCCATTTTATTATCTGGAACCTTCCCTCCAAGGACTTGGAGTGATACATTGTCAGTAAGTACATGTACATCTCTATACCATCCAACCTCAGCTTGTAAACAGATACTACATTAATTCAATTACAGTAGTCGATCTCTTAAGGAGAAGAGAAATATTAGGAGCGTTGAATTCCAATTAACGTGGTGACTGATTATAGGGTAACAGGAAACTTTTTTCCTAAATCAGAATGAGAATTTTTTAAAATAATGGAGGTGGACCAAAAGAGTGACAAATGAGGAACCCAATTACTTGGCTCCCGGTTAGGTTTTCCGTTTGTGAAATAGGGTTTCTATAAGAAAGAGGAGAGGATGACGCCAGGCTGACTGCCTAAAAAGAACTATGTTGCTTTGTTTAAAAGGACTATTAACCATAAGTTTTGTCAATGCAACTTTCTGTCCCCAAACAAACACACTGCAAACCACCTGGGTTGTCAGAAATGGCAGTGGCAGGGCCAGAACTTCTTAGGGTAGCTGTCTGGTTGGGATATGGTGGGCTTGAAGCTGCATTTGTACAGCTCACCATATTCAAGGGCATGTTTATTTGGCACCATTTTTGACACCATTACTGCCGATTTCTGCATTGGCCGAGTGCCCTATTGTTTTGTCAGAGCAGCCTTCCTCTCCACTCAACAGTGGGCTCGTGCCCAGATGAGCTTTGTTAGGTGCCTAACAGAGACCCCTTGAGTAATGTGGCTACCCTCCTCCCCGCCAGACTGGCCTCTGTCTGTCCTGGCCCAGTGTGAGCAGCCCTCTCCCTCCCCAACTCTAGGCATGACTTCCAGCACATCTTGAACTTTTCTAAATTAGCCCTGATTGCTGAGGAAAGTAGGAAAAGATGCTGGGGCCAAACGTAAGTGACTCTAATAAAATGTTTTGGGGTCTCTTGTTTTATCTTAAAAATTCATGCAAATTTGTCATCCTACTCCAGAATATGTTTTCATATAAAAATGTTTTAAATAATCTAACAGTGAAATGAGTTAACTTTTTCTTTTAAAAGATCATCAAATAAAATTGACACTCTAGGAAGGTACCCATGATCAGCTGTGGCCCCATGTGTCCCCAGCACAGCATCCACACATCCATGGGAAAGGCACACTCCAAAGGAGAAGCATCAATACTTAGATGTTAATGGCCCTTCCCGCCCCTAATCCCAGAGACCTCTACTTTTGAACTAAATGTCAGGGGAAGGGGGTGGTGAGGATTTAAAAAGAAGAAAGAAAAGGGGCTATGCTTATAACCTAAATATAGTACCCTATTGCTCTTCCTATCAGTGAATAATGGGGATGGGGAGTGTTCATTCATTATTAAAATTGCTTAGAGAAATTACTATGATTATGGTTCTCTTCCCTGTCTTGCAATAGGATGGCTGTTAACAGATTGAATTCAGAGGATGTGCCTGGTTTAGATTTCTCTTTCCCCTGCATTTTAGGATATCAATGCTTACAACTGTGAGGAGCCCACAGAAAAGTTACCTTTTCCCATCATCGATGACCGGAATCGGGACCTCGCCATCCTGTTGGGCATGCTGGACCCAGCAGAGAAGGACGAGAAGGGCATGCCTGTGACGGCGCGTGTGGTGAGTTATCGAAGTCCATTCTGGAGTCCTCATGACTGGCCAGGCTGTATGTCCATGTAAATGCTTGGAGCACCTAGAGGAAATAGGCGAATATATGTTAATGTCTACATATTTCCTCAGGGAAATAATAACTGTACTAGCAATCTCACTGATTATGTGTAATGCTCATGCTAAAATTTCAGCTAAAATTTTAAACTGGGTAATTCATAGCTTTTGGAGGAAAACTTCTAGAATTGAGTAATCTTTCCTATATCTCTCCTGACAACCTCTCTTTAATGGGATGGGTCATGTCCTTTATCCTTGGGCAGCTCTGGTTTTGAATTCTGGTTAGTTCTGTCCTGAAAACAAACTTAGTCCCTCATCTGCAAAAAGTACAACTACGTGAGGGCCAGTGTCCACTCCCATTAGTATTATTTTTATGATAATCACCCCTATTTAACATAGTACCAGCCGGAGCCCTTTCCTGGATTCAGTTTGCATATCAGTTTTTCTTACTGGGACAACCAGAACCAAATATAATCTCCTTTTAAGTGCAGAAGATAACATGAACACTGATGTATACCTGAGGCTAATACAATACTATAGGTCATTGTAATCAAAAAGTTAAAAAGTATATTTTTATAAAAAGGGAAATGACATGGAGAAGAAAAGTGTCTGGGTTCCTGCCCCCCAATGAAGTTTGGTGTGCCATTTTAGATATTGGGGAATTTTTTCATTTGCTTTGTGTTTATACCTTCGAACATTTGTCATGACAGGCAAGCATTCCAAGAGGCTTTCCTATCAAAGAACTTGTCCTATTTAAGTGTCTGTGTGTTTACAGGTGTTTGTTTTTGGCCCTGATAAGAAACTGAAGCTGTCCCTCCTCTACCCCGCGACCACCGGCAGGAACTTTGACGAGATTCTCAGAGTAGTTATCTCTCTCCAGCTGACAGCAGAAAAGAGGGTTGCTACTCCGGTTGATTGGAAGGTAAAGATGCTAAAAGGCAGGTCCCCAGCGCACCTGAAAGGCCTGTGTGGCTAATGTTCAGTGGCCACCCTCGGGCTCTCTTTCCAGCGCGCAAGTCCACTGGGAGGATTTTTCCTCATGGCTGAGTTTAAGATTTGCTGTTCAAGGTCTTTAACACTTTTATATAAAACACAAACTCCCATGTTGCTTTCTAGCTATTAGCTTATTTGGGCGGATTAATTGGTCAGAATGATTCCCTTTACTAATAAAAGGATTTTTTTAAAAAACTTTAATCCTTCCCTGATGGCAAAATATTTACAATAAAACTTAGATTGGCCACTTAAGTCCTGGCTGTAAAACTTTTTGGTGTCTTACTGTCCTGAAGTAATTTCTTCTCTTAAGTTTCATTAAACCTCTGTAGAATTCTGACACTTTTTTTCAAGCTTACAATCTCTAGGATTTCTGCAATATGTATGACATGGATAATATCACAAGAATATTTTAATGTCGCTACATTTTTAAAAATATGCTAACCTGAATACCAGTTTTTGTTTTTCTGATTAAGTATATCAAATAAAATGCTGTGTCCATTCCCTGAACATACATTTATTGAGCCCAGATGTAGCCATGAGCAATAAAGTTCCAGATCTCTTAGGCTCACATTCCAGTGGTAGAGACAGACAATAAACTAGTTTATAGTGTATTAGGTGCACAGAACAATGGGGAGCGGAGGGGAGAAAGGGAGTACCAAGGTGGGAAGGCTGGCTTTCTGCCTGGCTCTCAGGGGGGCCTAGTGCAGGAAGCTTTACCTGAGGGTGAGCATGGCATGTTGGAGGACCATGGTAAGTCAGAGAACCTGATCTAAAAAGTTCATTCTCGCCTTCAGGCTTTACCATTGGATTTCACCATTCTCAATGTCTGTCCGTAGGTTGGAGATAGCGTGATGGTCCTCCCAACAATCCCTGAAGAGGAAGCCAAGAAACTCTTCCCTAAAGGAGTCTTCACCAAAGACCTCCCATCTGGCAAGAAATACCTGCGCTACACGCCCCAGCCGTAGGTCTCACCCTGCACAGTGAGCCAGCGGGTGCCAGCTGCCAGTCATGTGTCCTACAGCGATTCCATAGAAACATCCCACTATGATTACAGCCACGGTCTCTAGGTTGTTGTCCTACTGGCTTATTAAATGAAAATGGCACTAAACACCCCGTGGGGTTCTTTGCTTCGTGCCTTCACCAGCATTCTGTTCTGTTCCCATGCCTCAGCCTTCTCTCCTGGCTCTCTGAAATACAGTCTGTATTTGAGACTCACATCATATCGGATCTCTGCAGGTTTGTGATCAGCAACGTAGGATCCACTGATGGTTGAAAAGCTGCTTTGCTCCAGCCTGGAATGACCATCAGGTTTTTTAGCTGTTCTAATCAAATCCTCTCTTCCATTACATTTTGGGGAGCAGCAGAACTTGAGGTTCAGTTTCCTCTGTCAATCTGTAAGTATATAACCCTAGCAGTTAAAGTAACCGGATATTCTTCAGTACTCAGTGTTTTGATCACAACTGAGGGAAAAGATTTCCGTTCTGTACTTTTACAGGAGAGAACTGAAGTGGGATGAGCAGGGGGAGGGATCTTTAAATATTTTGCTCAGAAAATTTTTCAATACATTTCTACCAAAAGAGGGAGAAAAGGCTCCACTTACCTGCTGGAGGTGTGAGCAGAACAACAGCGCCACCTGCCTTTCACAGCAGGTATTTTCGTGTCAGTGCTCCGCCATGATAACACCGAAAGGGCTCGCCCTGGGGAGGAAGGGAGGAGAGGATGACTGAAGTTGTTTGTAGAACT